ACCTATTTTTTTGAAAAATTGAAAGAACATTTTAATGAAAAAACATAAAGATCTAAAAAATGAATAATTAAAGGCAAAAGTTACTTACGAAACTTAATTTATATTTGACAAACTAAAAAAGAACGGATGATAACAAAGTTTTATTTCAAATGATTGTAAATTCATCTTGAAAAAATAAAACTCGATTAAAAATATAAATTTACACACCATAGAACTTGAATTAAATTTTCAAAGTAAACTTCGAATTACCTAATAAAGAAATATAAAAAAAATTATTACTCCCTTCGTTCTAAAAAAAAACACTTCGTCTTTCATTTTTTTCACTTTCTACAAAGTACTTCCATTTTCTATTAAAAAATCACTTCTATCCTTACTTTTTCATATCATATATATCACATCATACTTTTTCTCTAATAATCTATCCATCATATCTTACTTTTACTCATCACATCAAGGGCAAAATTGGAAGTCAACTACAATTTAACATGTACACTTTCTTATTTTTACATTTGATCAAACTAGGAACACTATTTGAGAACGGAGGAAGTATATTTTAAAATATATTATGCCACAATATATATGTTCGCTTTGGAGTTTTCGATATGGGAAGTTATCTCGTATTGTTCCCAATCAAATATCAAACTGACTATTCAGTTCGCTACGATTCAATATTTTGTGGTATTTTTTTGATTCAGTATTTTGTTGTTCGACTTTCTTGTTTTATTTGAGAAGTTTTAGGATTGATTTAGTACTTTCTCACCCCTAGTTGCCTTTTACTTCAACTTATTTTTAATACTACGTATTTACTAGTACTTTAACAAGTGTCGCACGAGGTTAAACGTAATTTTGTTCAATTTATACTTTTTTAAGGTTTTGTTATTTTGGATTCTAATTGTTAAAATCTGTTTGGATCAGAGAAAAGTAATTTTCCTAAAAATTCAAATTCTACTTTTTTGTTCGATAGTGTAAATGGTTGGAAATCATTTTTTATGAATTATTTTTCTTAAACAAGAGAAAATTTCTTTCAATTGTTCTGGATAAAAATTTATTTTCCTAATCAATCCTCAAGTACTCTAATTTTTCAAGTACTTGTCTTGCACCCACCCACATCCTCTCCTTTGCCCGTCACAAGCCACCCCTTCCTCCTAGCCCCGCCCCCCACCACCTCTTCTCCCAAATTGTAGAAAATTGAGTTGTATAAAGAAGATTTAATATCAACCATGCACAAAACAAACCTATATATGCTCCCAAAAATATTTTAAAATTATCCAAAACTATATTTGATTTTATTCAAATGTCAACAATGTATTAATATAAAAATCTCTCTCTATGAAATTATAGAAAATTGTTTTGAAAAAACTTCTTAACAGACAATAGAAAATGTGGGGGAGAAATATTTTTCGTGAAATTGTTTTCTTCTAGAATAATATTTTCCAACTTTGTATGTTTCTTTCTAACACTTTATAGTTTTTTCTAATTTATTTCTTCCAACTTCTTACAACATCTTCAAATTTCTACCTGCTCTTTTTAGTTTCATCTAACTTCTCTTGATTTCTTTCAATAGTTGATACATTATTTGCATGCATTTTAATAATAATAATAATAATAATAATAATAATAATAATAATAATAATAATAATAATAATATCGAAATGGATCTTGAGCCACTACGAGTTGGGAGGGTTTACTGGGGATGTGGGGAATAAGAAAAATCAATTTTGTGAACAAAGCTTCGTAGATACCCCAATTGAAGCTAATGTTGTCCGAAGCCACTCATAAGGAAACTTCCTATGTACTCCCTACCACATAGTTGTACTACTATGCAAATTGATTAAAATTTCCAACTAGTTAAAATACTCCCTCCGTCCATCAATGATCTTCTCATTGCGCGTTACGAGGTTTGACCGACTTTATTTTCAATTCAATTTATTTAATTGTAAAGATAAAATTTAAAAATAAAATTTATATAGTAAAAGAGTACATGAAAAGTTCTACAAAACTAGAAGTGTGACAATACTATTTTATTTTATGAAATGAATGGTTAAAATAAGCAAACAAAGTGAGTTAAGTTTGACAATGTGAATAGTATCTAGGAAGATCTATGGTGGACAGAGGGAGTAATAAATAGGTGTTGGAAGACTTGTTAAAATTCCAAATTAGCTCGCCACATGTCAAAATGCTCTAAGTCGGAGTCTCAAATGTAATAGTAAAGGAAAGGATTACTGATTCTTCTTTGATTAGATCAGATCAGAGAAAATCTGATCAGAAACAACATTAAATATAACTACAATTAGAATATACTAGATCAGATTAGATCAGGCCTTAATAAAATCATACCAGATCTTATAAAGAGAACAAATTCTACATTCATGGTCTTAAATTTTTTAAAGTTATTCCATAATAAGACCTTTAAGAACTATATATAAAGAAAACATATTTGATCATATTTGGACTAAAAGTCTAATTAATTTGAACAGTGGAAGTAAATTATATTTAGAATAGAGAAAAGTAAAACATACATAGTATAAAACTTATAGAACTACTAGTACCATTCATCATAAAAAGGAAATGTCAGATTTAGCTATCACAAAATAGGATGGAAGATATTGAATTGTTACTCCCTCCGTCCTAAAACTTTCTTCCCAGTTTGACTTTTCCCCATTTTTAATTTTTGGTTTTGACTTCAAATTTTACCCTCCTTAAAAAAGATTTTTTGCAAATTTTTTTTACAATCATTCAAAATATAGAGTTAGAAGATAATTGGTGTAAATACATGAGGGTATTAATGTCATTTGTTATCTTTTTTTTTCTAATGGGAAGGTAGTTTTAGGACGGAGAAAAAAGGGAAATGGGAAGAAAGTTTTAGGACAGAGGGAGTATATATTAGGAACAAACCTAGTACACTGATAGCTTACAATGGTACAAAAATATTAGTATAAAATTTTGCAATCTCACTAACATTTAACGCCTATTCTTGTCAACATTTTCTTATTACTTACTATTTTCGTCTAGAAATATTCTTCTCATTTGCCTTTTTACTGTTTCTAGACCATTAATATCTATATTTATACATAGATATATATTATTAAGATTCGATATTTCTAAATTATGTCTCATTAGAAATATATTGATATTAAATTTATATCGTAATACACTATATTTTTTCTACAAATTGTAGTCGAAATTTATAAACTTTGACCAAGAAAAATCAAATATAAAGAATATTTTTGGACAGCGGGAGTATTACTTATTCTTATTGGAATCAGCTCGGTTAAGATCTAATATGATTTGATCAGAAATATCTTTAAATATAACTACATTTAGATCAAATTATAGTAAATCAGAACATATTTCAATTAAATCAAAACTATTTAGATCAATTCTAGTACCTCCAATTTGAAAGAAAATCCGGATGATGGTATGGTAAGATACTACTGAGTATATTTGGCCCAAAATGCTCCACAAGCTAAAGCTAAAATCTATTTGTAAATTGTACTCTACTTACTAGTTACTACGAAAGCCCACATAAATGTCACTTCCTTTTGTTTTTTTAAATTAAAATAACAAATTCATCCCAAAACACCAAAATAGGCCCTTTATGCTTAGATGTTGAAAAGATACTTACTCCAGTTGTCTTAAAATGTTCTTCCTGATTACTATTTATCTAGTCTTACTTTAATTTTTTTCTTTTACCTATTTTCATTATTTTTTGATAAAATAAAAGTCTTGTCAATTCTTGTTTTATAAAATTTTTAACGTAGTTTTTAAATATATAAATTTATTTTTTAATTCTACACTTACAATCAAATTAAATAAATTGAAAATAAAATCGGTCGAACCTCAAAAATAGAAATGGAAAACACGTTTTAGGAAGAAGAGAGTAAAACAATCTAATAAGAAAATTAAAAATTGAGAAATAACACTCGCTTTTCTCATCTAAAATCGGTCCAACCCTTAATAAACCGATATGAACTGATTCAAGTTCAAATTTCAGTTCAACAATCTACCCAAATTTCAATTTTCATATTTTTTTCCCGTTCGAGTCCTTTCCGAACGAGATAAATCTCTAGATATTCGAGATTTTTTTTGGTACTTGAAATTTTGGATCAAAATAATCTACTGCATACTCAATTTCTATAGATATCCAAAATTACATGTCAAATTAGTGGATATCCGAAATAAAGTTTTATTTTTCCAGTCATTCTAAACAATTATTTGGGATGAATTATCGGACTATTACTTATTCTGATTTAAATATAACTACATTTAGATTTATGAAATTAGAAGTTATTCCAATCAGATTAGAATAATTTAGATAAAGAAAACTAATCCTTAGTAAATGATAAACTTGTATAATTCTCATAAACCAGTGAATCTAGTCAAATGTGAGATGAAATTAGCAATACCTAAAATTAAAGTCAAGAGTGTTTTAAGCATCAAATTAGCTTTAGGGTTTGTTTGGTACACGAAATTCAAGTCGTGCAATTAGAATGGTGGAGTTCAATTCCAATTCTGGTGTTTGCTAGCACAAAACTATGTAAATTTGTAATTGGTAGTGCAAACAATGAATTGGAATTGAAGAACTCAATTCCATCGAATTCAATTCCAATTTAATTTGAATTTCAATTCAATTACAATTTCATCAATTCCGTGTACCTAACGGACCCTGAGAGTTTTATCTTAAGTGATAATTTTATAAATGTCTAAAAAAATGAATATTCCATAGTGTCTAGGAACCAATTCAACTAAAAGCTCAAGCTTGTGGTTGTGGCCCAGGAAGAGTTATTTATATTTTAACAAAAGTGAACAAATAAAGGATGAAAAAAAATGACTAGAGTACAAAATCTGAATTAAGTTTAGATTTTGAGCACCCTACCCACAATGCCCATGTTTAGCAGATATCCAATTGGAATATGGAATCTCCCTCAGCAGGGAGGAAGCATCTTCCATCTCCGATTCCTCGCATCTATCTTATCACTGATGCTTCCTAATCCGACGGTCCACCTCTCTCCTCCTTCCCCATAAATTCATCCCCCCAATTTCACTCCCAAAACTCCCTCTGTACAGAAATGGAACCCATTAATTCGTTGGCAACCCCGCTCGATAATGCTCTTGCTTTCAACAATCCCAGCCACGGCGGCTTTCTAACAGCGCTATGGGCTTGGGCCGCCGTCCTAACCGCCGCCGTCGGCCTCTGGAGGATCAAATCCTCCGCCATGTCCGCGCAGTCCGACCCGCGCCCCGAATTCCAGAACGGGTCGTCCGATCATCCCGCGCCGCCTCGGGATATCGCGCTGTCTTCGCCGCCGCCGGCCGAGAGCTCGTGGGTTTCCGCGCCGGATTCGACCGCGGGTGAAGCTGCGACGGGCGTGAGGAAGGGGGAGAAGTTCACGGCGTATTTCGACGGCGATGACGCAGTTGACGGCAACGCCGGCGGCGTTGACGATTTTTACAATAACCGCAACGGAGGTGACGGTGAGTGTGACGGGATTGGGTTAGTTGACGAGTGGTATCAGATTTGGGAGGGAGCCATAGAAACGAGAAACGGAGGCGCGGGTTGGTACCGTAACCAGGATTTAACGGTGATTAACGGCAACGTGGTGAGGCTGTGGGACCGCAGCCGTAGACGGCGGTGGGCGTAGGATGCGTTGTTTCATGGTAAATCGGAGGTGGTATATACCATAGTCCATATAGTTAGGCAGGTAGCCATGAAGGATTTCAAAGTTAAGGTCAAGTTTGTTATAGACAACTTGACATTTTCGGTTTTGAAAATATAATTGTAAATGGTTTTAATAATACTCCATTGTTGGGAGTTATGAGTAGAAGCAAAACTATATGCATAACTGCACCAAATAATCCCTTCTTTCGTCAACAATGGAATTAATTCATGATCGGTGCAAACAAAAACTGTTCCAATTTGTACTTGTTAGATGAAGTCAGAAGTTAACAAGGCACAAACTAAAACTTGAGGTCGCGTGGCTTAACTACATACTCCATTGTTACTATAAACAACATTTATACCGGCGAGAGACCGCTACGCCGATCCCCATGTGTCGTCATATGCCTACGAGACGCCACAAATTCCTTCACAAAAACGCGTGTTTTTGGTGGTGCATCCGCCAGCCCGTCATTTTAACGGTACAAGTTCTACCCTTCAAATGTAATTTCTAATCCAAATAAAATTTCAATCGAAAAGACTAAAACATGCATATGTTTATTTAAAATAAGTAATATCAAGTTATTTCATCCGAAAATTTCTAAAATTTCTAATTACCTAATTAGATCTATGTCAAGGTTGTAGAAAATTTTAATTTTTTATTTCATCCGAAAACATATGTTGATTTAAAATAAGTAATATCAAGTTATTATTATATTTGTGCAATTTTTCATAGTTTATTGCTTATTTTTTTATTTATCATATTCATGGATCAGAAAGTCTAATTTTGTAGACAAATGGACTTTCAAACAACGAACGTCCGTTCGAGGTCTCTGTTGATGGCACCTACTTGTACGAGAAGTATAAGAGAGTCTTGTTACTCATTGTGGCAATGGCGGCAGATCACAATATGTTTCTGTTATCTTATTCCCTTGTTAACAAAGAAAATAGAGATTGTTGGAGCTAGTTCATGTTGCATTTAATGCGTCATGTAGTACTCATTCACATGCGAGTGTGCAAACTTTATGAATAGCACTAAGGGATTAATGTAGCTTTCAATATAGTCCCCCAGTTGAGAGAACAATTATCACCCAAAGATTTTGTCTGCGGAACCTAAAAAAATCAGAAGAAGTTCAACAGCAAGAAGCGGAAGGTCTTGATGTGTCATGCAACTAGTACCTCCAATGTCTATGAATTTCATCAAGCAATGCAATAAATATAGTCACGACTAGTGAAAACATATAACAGATTGATGATTTTACCATTAAAAGAGTGGGCAATGAGTTATGATGGTGGGACTCTATATGAAATCCTTCTCACTAATTTTTCTGAAACATTCGATCGAATTTTGAAGAGATATCGGTCTCTTCCGGCATATACTATCGTGAAGACAACCTACGAGAGATTAGTAGAATTATTTACTGAAAGGCGGACATACAGATTTACTTGACTACAAGCAAGGTTTAAGTTCCCAAAATAAGTTTGAAGCAAGGCGAGACAGATGAAATACAATCATTTACAGTGTCATGTTATCCCTCATCATCTCTAATAAGGAATTTACCATGTCATTATTGAGGGCAATGTTGGAGCTGCCAGTAGAGAAGATGGATTTATCATGTGTTTGGGCTAACTCCATGTCGTATGCCATTATTGTTGCATAGCAATTGATGTTCTCATTCCATCGGTGTTCTCGCTACAGAGCTACCTAAATGTATACTCTCGAAGTGTTATGTGAGTGCCAAATGAAATAGAATGACCTCATCTTATAAGTTAAGAATTAGTGCAACCAATTACGAGACACAGGTCACAAGCCAATCGTTCTGTGAGCACTCGTTTCAAAAAGGTATCATTAATTTGCAGAACATTGGAGTGCACAAAATAATCCTACAAATTAAGCCTTTGCATACATTTCTAGATAGTACTTCCTTCGTCTATTAATTTCTTTCTCACTTTCCTTTTTAGGTTCTCTAAAAAAAATTCCCATTTCTTATTTTGACAAAAACGCTTTTAATGAATGTACCATAATACCCCTATTTTTTTCTCTACATTATTTATTTTATTCAATCATATCAAGAGCAAAACATGTAAAATCCTTATATTTTGTAACTTTTCTTAATCTTAATGCCAAGTTAAAACGAGAAATTTTTTTTTTGAGGGAGGGAATATTATTTATGAGACGAAAGGTAAAGTTATCTTGAACAACAAGTCTAAATATTAGATTATTTCGCTCAAACTAAACAAAATAAAGAGTAATTCCATAAAAGGTCCCCAGTTATAGGTCGTTTTACATATTTAGTCGTTACATATCAAATATTACTAAGTTAGTCCCCAATTATTATATCATTTTTCACGAATGGTCTTTTGTTAACGTTTTTGTTAAGAACATGGATAAAATTGTATATTCATACTTCTCTCTCTCCTCAATTAAGCTTCATTCCTCCTCTCGTACTCTTTCCCAAACTCGTCGTTGAGTTTGAAGCTCTAAATCCAAAACTAAAATGATCATTCCTCTCTCAATTATTAGTCTTCCTGGTGGAACCTAAAATCAAAACCAATAGGCTTTATTGATGAGTTTTATCGGTTAGTCTCAAGAAATTGCAAAGAAAATAACATTAAAACTCATCCATGAAGATTACTGGATTCGAATTTGGGTTCCACCAGTTAGACAAACAATTGAGAGAAGAGTGATGATTTCGTTTTTGGGTTCAAAGCTTCAAACTCAGCGACGGGTTTGGGAACGGAGTGCGAGTGGAGGGAGGACGCTTAATTGATGAGAGAAAGGAGTGTGAATTTACAATTTTATCCACGTTTTTAACGGAAATGTTAACAAAGAACCATTCGTGGAAATTAATGTAATAATTGGGGGCTAAATTAGTAATATTTGATATGTAGGGACTAAATATGTAAAACAACCTATAACTGGAGACTTTTTATGGAATTTACTCCAAAATAAAGTATTGATATTCCTAGGTCTTTTAATAATTTAAAAAACTAAATTTTATCTTACTATATTTTTTATATAGGTAGTTACTCAATTTACATCATTTTCAATTATATAATTTTATTTTATTAAACTCCACAGAAAATCAAACCCAAATATTAATCTATAATAGGATTATTAATAAACTTTTTAAATTTAGGAGAGAAATTCAATGCAAAAAATAAGAATTACGAAGGGGATGAGAAATGCAAAAAAAGAATATTCAAAACACAAGTCAACGTTTTTTCCATATAGGAGTGGACCAAACAAGTGGGAGTAATGACGTGAAAAATTAAAAAGGTTGGTGGCGATAAGGTTAATTATCAAATCTAAAAGTATTTTCGTGAAAAGTCATATTTTTAGGAGTATTCGTGTGAACATTTTCCTTATTTTAAACACGAAACTATTGAATTACAATTTACCATTGCAAATTGCACAATTATGTGTGAAATAATTGTGCAATATTGCATAAAATGGGTTGATAACAAAATTATTTTATACAGACCGGTCAAGGGTTGGATTATTTGGCACTATTCTGCAAGAATAACAATGCATGCTTCTTCACATTGAACATATATTTCCAAAATGTACCTCAAGATGAGGAGCCAAACAATTCCGTTTGGGTGGTCGAAAATCACTTGATTTTGGAAGCAACCACCCAAAGAGCCAAACATTCTCAATATGTGTAACATGTTATAAGGGGAAAAACTGAAGCCAATGAATCCAAAGTAGAGTGAGAATTGTTACACAATATAGTATCCACAGTGGCTTGTTTTCAGCCATAATAGACAATGGGGATTTCTTCTTCTTCTTCTTCTTCTTCTTTTTACTTGTAAGGCGCGAACAAGATGGAAGAGTTTTGACCGCCAAATCCAAAGGAGTTCGACAGGGCCACCTTAATATCCAGTTGTTCCTTTTTCGAGCCCACGAGAAACCTGGTGTCCTGTTTTGTTTAACGTTAATGACTCTCATTTAATAAGTAAAATATGCAGTGCCCAAACTTAACTAATCTTGAAATATGATCTCATGGATTTTAACATGGCACTAGAGCGAAGAAGAGGTTGAGAAGGAATTAAGGGAACGAGGGGGAGTCATACCACCCCTTTATCCGGGTTATCCAGATTGATGTTCGGATGAATCCACCCGGTCCGAATTGCCTGCAAATAGTCAACATCAGAAACTGGATTCATTCAGCAAGAAACAATGCAGCAGTTTCCTCACAAAAAGAGCACAAATTATTATGCTCCTTAGCTCTCTTTCATAACTGTCGATTAGTAAGACTGTTTTTGGCAAAACACGGGAATAATCAAGCCAATGTATATGGCGAGCTAAATAGAAAATTCTGAAAATAAGATGTTCAAAAGGTATGTAATCATCAGTCAAGAGTTGGTGAAACTTGATTGAAAAGCTATTTGAAATCCTTGCAGAAAAATCTCATTCGTATCTGTTAAGCTCCCAAGCAAACAGAGCTCAAATGAAAAGCTGTTCTTAATAAAAAAGCTAAAATACTTAACACGAATTCTAGTTAATGGTTTGGCAAATATGGTATAGTGATAAGCTAGTCGATATGCCAAATGATAGTGGATACTTTAGTTTGTAACTTACAGATTATAGTCTATCAAAAGCACTTATAGATTATAACCCATACTGCATTTGATAAGCTAGCTTATCTCTTAAAGTATTTGGTAAAGAACATAATTGATGAGTAAGTTTAACAGATGCAGTAAAGTCCCACACAGTGTGGTTAAATGATACATTTAACATAATTTAACCATATATAAAATGAGGTTAAAATAGGAACCTGAACAGTCGCTACAGCCTCTACTGCACCAGCTGCCCCCAGAAGATGACCAGTCATCGATTTTGTAGCGTTTATCCGTAACTGCAAGAAAGAAAATTAAACAGTTGCAAATATTTAGCTTCTGTGAGAAAGTTCTTTTTGCAAATGAAGAAGAAAAAAACCCAAAGAGAAGATCAATAGACTGAAAATCTAATAATTACCCGACCTCCGGGTTCTGACCAAGACACTGAAGAAGGGCTTGAAGTTCCTTGAGATCACCAGCTTGGGTAGATGTAGCGTGCGCATTTATATAGTTGATGTCATCTCTGCACAGCCCAGATTGAGCTATGGCTTTCTCAACACATAGGGCAACACCCTTTCCTGCATTAAGATTTAAGAATTAAGACACCTCTTGTGAAAAGTAAAAAAAAGGCACACCCAAACAAACCCTTAACTAATGAGTCAGTGTCTATTGATTGAGGTTAGTGTTGGTCTTGATAATATTTCAAGAATCACTCATTTGTAAAACAATTTGATTATTAGTGGAGGGTTTGTTTGGGTAAATTTCATATATGATGATAACCTTCTGGATGAGGTTCTGTCATGTGATGTGCATCAGAAGAGAAACTCCCACCGAGAAATTCAGCATAGATCGTTGCGCCCCTTTTCTGCTCATTCAAATAAGGAAAGTGAAAATGGGAGTAAGAAAATACTAAAAATGAGATTGTTGGAGAAACTATACCTTCGCATGCTCGAGTTCTTCCAACAGCAGAACACCAGCTCCTTCCCCCAGTACAAACCCATCACGATCCTGTCAAATATCAATATGCAAAGTATTCTTTTGTAATTAAAAGAGAATCAAAATACAATGGGAGAAAAACACCGTGGATCGGCCTGTGATAAAAACTGAACTGCTCTCAAGAAATACAAAACCGAAGACCACACGGAAAAGAAAACGAAAGAGATGAAAATACACTGTCCCAAGGCCTTGAAGCTCTAGTAGGATCGTTGTTTCTCTGAGACAGTGCTTTGCAAGCAATAAATCCACCCACTCCTGCAATAGAGAAATGTGAGGTACAACCAACCATACCTAGAAAAATCAGCATATAATTGTAAAATGAAAAAGGACAGTTACCGGGTGGTATAATTACTGAATCAGATGCACCGCAAAGCATCACATCCTGCAAACATTAGAACATTAAAAATAAACATCATATAATTCAATCCTTTACAATATCTCCATTGGCTTCAAAAGCATTAGCATTAGCATTAGCGGTGAATGTTATATCCTATGTATACTTACAGCTTCACCTTCGATGATGTGGTTAGCAGCATTCAGAATACAAAAGTTACCAGTCGCACATGCAGTCGAAATAGAATAGTTTGGACCCATCCATCCCTGGATATAAAATTATAATATTAACACTTAAGAGATGCACTTATTGCAAGTAGAATAATAACATAAAAAAGAGTAAATTATAGCTACCAAATCAATAGATAGTATGGCAGAACCCATGTTTGTAACTGAAAACGGTACACAAAAGGGATTCATCTTCTTATAGGAGACCTGTAATGCCTCTATTGCATCACTGAAAATCTGCATGAAGGAATAAGTACATAATTGTACTTTTCAAATACTCTGTATATTCAACTGAATATCCATAAATATATTAGTAAGAGTAACTTGAAGAAAATTACCCTCATTCCACCCATTGCAGAGCCAATCAAAATTCCACACCTTGTTTTATCGAATTCACCCATCACATCATCTGTAACTCCACCATCCAACAATGCCTTCTTTCCCGCTACCAGCAAGAAAAGCATAAACCTGTCCAATCTATTAGCAAGTTTTGGTGCAACCAAACCATCTGTAGAGAAAGACTTTATTTCTCCAGCAATTCTCTGCATAACAAACAAAATTGTGATCAACATCATACTAAGCTTTCTGTGTGAAGAGTTGTAAGGAACAGATCTCACTGTTGAATATTCTGAAGGATCAAAAGCTTCAATCTCGCTAATGCCGCTAACACCTTCAAGTAGATTTCCATAAAACTCATCGGGTTCGTGACCAACGGGAGATACAACACCCAAACCAGTCACAACAACTCGCCTTTCTTTGATAGAAGGCTTCTCCTTCTTGACAACATCATTTGCATGATTTGTAGCAGAGGCCAATACCCTCCCTGGACCACATAAGTGCTGACATTGTCAATTTTTGCTTAATGTGATTGCAATTTGCCTTACACTATGTTTAGTTCAAGGAATTCGGAAGGAAAAGAAAACGATTCTTATTTTCCTCACCAAAATGGGAGGAATTTGGTTTTCTAACCTCTTACTATATTTTGTCTTCTCATTGAAAAACTGTTTTCCACTTCTTTTTCTTTTCTTTTCCTTTCAAATTCCTTAAACCAAACATAGTGTTAAAGTTCTTCATAGAAATTGTATGAGGCACGCAAATATAACAAAAAAAAACATATTAAGGGCATCTGACAATGATATTATAACAATTAATTTCCTACTATACCTAAAGTTAACTCCAAAATAACCTGCTTCAACAATAATAAAGGTGTAACTTTTATCATATCATAAACAAAAAGAATTAGAACCCCCCACCCACCCATCCCATACTCCCCTCCAAGAACATATTTTTTCCTGACAATCTGAGTTCTGATACTTAAGATGTTCAGTGTAAGAAGTTATACTTATACGGAGTACCATACAACCATCTTTTGATAAATTTCAAAGCACCTGAAATAAAAGGGAGAAATAATTATAATAATCATAACCCAGAGAAACAAGAGAAGCCATTACCATGATATTTGGAACTGGAAGCCCTGGCCGGCCACAACCCAGAGCTAATAATGGGATTTACAGCCGCCGTGGGGAACCACATCCTCCTTCTCCCAACACTCCCACCCCGCCGGGAATCATCAAACGCCGACCTGCATCCCGGATTCCAGGAACGAAAAGAACGCCCGAAAAGCTTCTCCGCAGAGTACTTTTCACAACCAGCTGGCGTGCATGCACCCACCAACCACGACGACAACGCCGACGATCCCATCCTCTCCCTCAGCCTCCGACTTGCCGGACGAGTGGGCCCTCACTCTCTACTCTGCGTGCGTCGGCGGGAGCGTGAAATTGAATGTATATATCGTAAACAGATGCAGGGGAAATCTGCGAACAGAGCAATGAGGTGGGGGGGGGGGGGGGGGGAAAATGGGGTTTCAGAGGCGTGCGTAGATCAAGTGGATTGAAGAAGATGAAGAAGCGTTGTGGGAATGGCATGCATTGCTACAATTATAAATTGTGATACTCCGTATGAAAGAGAGGAGAAGAGACGAAGAAGACGAAGTGTTGTTTCGTTGATTGGGTGCCTGGATCTCTGTGCTCTTTGAAAATACAGCAATACATGTGTACAACAAAACAAAACAAAACAAAAGTGGTTGTTTGTTTAACAACATGGAAGTTGAGATTATTTTTAATAAAAAATATAATTGATGAGTAAGGTTAATGAAAATGTCTGTTTTGGGCAACAAAATGAAAGTTTAGATTATTTTTGAAGAATTTTCATTTTTTTTATTTTTTTTGAATTTTTCATTTAAATTTTTAAAATTACTTTCTACCTCAATCATCATTTCTTTTTCCTTTTTTAAAAGATTAGTCTTAGCTTAAAAAAATAAAAATAATAGATATAAAAAATAAAAAATGAGAAATGTAACTAAAATGATACAAAAATAATAAAATAAATAAGGTAATCAATAGAAACTAACTTGAAATTGGTAATAAATAAAATAAAAATATTAACGTAAAATATTAAACCCACCCGTAATCTTTAAAAAAAGAAAAAAGAAATGATGGTGGAGGTAGAAAGTAATTTTAAAAATTTAAATGAAAAATTCAAAAAAAAAAAAAAAATGAAAATTCGTCAAAAATAATTCCAACTTTCATTTTGTTGCCCAAAACAGGCATTTCCGTTAACCCTCCGTTGGAAACTTAAGGGCGACCCAAAACTCGCAAAATTCAGTAAAGTTCGGATTATTATGCATCACACTAAAATGTGGGATTATTTTTGAAAGACCGGGTAAAGTTTGGGATTATTTTGGATAATTTTTCCAAAATATTAACACACATTTGAATTTGTAATCATCCATTTACTTTAACTTGTGAAACCCATTTGATCTACAAAGTATACTTTTTTAGAGAAAGTATTAAAATAATAAATAAAATACTAAATATATATATATAAACAAACCATTCCAATTAATGATAATTCACTTTCACTTTAACTTACGGATTTTGCTTTTCTCTTCCTTTTCACTCTATACTTAGTTTGTGTTTGGGGACGCCCTGACGCTCGTTTTCTTAGTATATGTGTGAGAGTATTATTATGTGCTTGTGAGTTTTGAGTTGGGATGTGCTTCGTTGTCTAGTTGTTGTCATATTATGTTTTAAGTTGAGTTGCATTGATTCCCTCCCACCCACCCTTGCTCTTAATTGTTAATTTGTGCTTTCCACACTCTTTGCCCCCTTGTTTTTCGTGTCTCTTGACACCGAGGACGGTGTCTCGATTTAAGTGTGGGGGGAGTAGTCAAAACTTTAGTCTTTGGGCTTGTGTGCTAGCTTATGTTTAGTTTATGCCATGTGGTGAATGTAACACCCTAATCCGTCCAGGTCTGCAGCCCCTTTCGGACAAAAGTATTGATTTGGTAATCGTGATAATTTAAAACATTTCAAACATTTTTATTTATAAATAATATTCCATACATAATTGTAGAGAAATACGGAGTGTTTAAATAAAATGCGGAAGCGACTTTAAAATATGTCTCATAACAACATAATTATTTATTTCATTCAATAATCTACCACGACTGTCTCGCCCCTTCTGTTGCCAGGAATCAGCCAATCATTCATTCTGCCTACCTGCGTGTAGCAAATAAAACACACTACACGCTCAGCGGTGAAGCTGAGTAAGCATATCTAAAGCGTCGAACATCCACATAAATTGAATCTCGATTCATAATCAACCATTTGATATCATGCACACAATATATAATTCAAACATTCATATTATTCTCAATATTTTATTCCAAGTCATTTGATATTCAATATCTCAACAATGCTCTCAAATTATTCTTAATCTAAAGCCAAATCATTTCATAACAACTCTTAACTATTTCTAGTCTAAGGCAACATTTCTAACTAGGCCCTTAAACTATAAATAGTTTAATGCAGA